GACTCTTATCTCCAGTTGACCACAAAAAGCCAGAACTGGAGCTGTGGTTCATGTGGCAGAGCACTAGCTTTAAGCACATAAACTCAAGGATAGTGACCAGGACTTGTGTTCAAGCCCCAGGACCAGAGGAAGGAAGGAAGGAAGGAAGGAAGGAAGGAAGGAAGGAAGGAAGGAAGGAAGGAAGGAAGGAAGGAAGGAAGGAAGGACTGGACACATACCATGTACTTATAGTCTTGAACTTAAACTGTTCTCTTTTGTTATAAAGAGACACAAAAAACAATGGGCAAAACTAGGAATGAGGGGCTGGGAAGGTTGCTCAGTGGTAGAGCGCTTGCCTTGCATGCATGAGGCCCTGGGTTCCATTCCTCAGCACCACAAAGCAAAAAGAAAAAAGCCGGAAGTGGCGCTGTGGCTCAAGTGGTAGAACGCTAGCCTTGAGCTGAAAAGCTGAGAGACAGCGCCCAGACCCAGAGTTCAGGCCCCACGACCGGACCCAAAAAAAACCAAAAAAAAAACCCAAAAAACTAGGAACGAATCAGTGTTCACTTCCTGACTTTAAAGGGTGCATTGAATTTACACAGGAAAATAAACATCGAGGCATTTGAGGATGGTCTATCAGGCAGTCAATTCACACTCAAGTAATTCAGGGATTTTCTTCAAAAAGTTCTCGGTACTGGGCTGGGAAGGTGGCTCAGTGGTAGAGTGCTTGCCTTGCATGCATGAGGCTCTGCGTTTGATTCCTTAGCACTACAGAAGCAGAAAAAAAAAAAGCGAGAAGTGGCGCTGTGGCTCAAGTGGTAGAGTGCTAGCCTTGAGCTGAAAAGCTGAGGGATGGTGCCAAGGCCTAGAGTTCAGGGCCCACAACTGACCAAAAAAAAAAAAATTCTTTATACTCTAATTGGGATTTTTCTATTAAGTGAGAGCTAGATAGCTTCCAAAATAAAATTAAATTCTGTGATTGGAAAGGAAGCCTTTTCTTCATTCTTAAACACTGAAGATTGTTAAAGTTGCCTAGGGTGATGAAGCCCCAGAAAACTGACCTTCCACAGCAGACACACGGGCAAACGCCCCTCTAAGCAATCCTATTCAATTCTTAGTATGGAGATGGCTGGAAGGAAAGGACAGTCCTGCGAACTTAGGGCCACACATTGAAAAATAACTCCTATGTACAGGCTTACAAGAAAAAGAAAAGGAAGGAAAAAATTGTGAATTTATTGACACAAAGGGACAACTTGAGAATCATTTTAAAATTGGTGCATTATGGCAGAAACCAGCTTGAGAGGTTAGAAGCACAATTGCTACCTTCATGAAATCAGTTAATTCTCTCTACCTAGCTTTTAAGAAATGATCTGGGTCAGGCATGGGTGCCTTACAGTTGTAATCCTAGCTACTCAAGAGGCTGAGAGCTGTGGATTCTGGTTCAAAGCCAGCCTAGGCAGAAAAGTCTATAAGATACTTATCTCCAACTAACTACCAAAAAGTCAGAAGTAAAGGTGTGGCTCGAGTGGTAGAGCGCTGGCCTTGAGCAAAAAGGCTCAGGGACAGCCTGGGGCTCTCCTTTAGCTTTTTCCCTCAAAGCTTACCCTTGAACTGAGTTCAAGCCCCAGTACCATCCCCCTCACAAAAAAATAACCTGGAAACTAGGAGGGCATGTGTTACTACAATTAAATTAAAAGATGGGAAGCACGGAGGCTCTGAGTTAAGGACCACTAAAGAGCACTACTAGAGGCCCTGGTCAGCATCCCTGCTCTCTCTGATGCAGGCAGTTGGTTCTGTGTAAGAGTTACGTCTATTGATCAGGCAACAAAACAGAAACAGACTTGAATTGATCAGAATGAAAGCCCACTGCCACTCCCTTTATAACATATTTTTCATCATTTTCAGAATCTAGTAGAACATGCTAAGACTGAATAGGTCTTAACTGAATGGATTGCTCTGATCATTCCCCCTCTGCGTTTTCATTTAATAATGCCTCTGTACAACACCACACCCACAGATATACCAAGCCCAACACTGAAGCCACCATGTTGGAACAGCAGTAATTTATCTGTGGCTTTGTGGCCTTCACTCAACATCGACATTGCTTTTCCCATAAAGTTCACCATATGGCCCGAGATAGTAAATAATTGCCTCCAGCCTTCCAAACATAATTCTTGTGTATTTGATCAAGGAGTTGAGAAAAACAGTTGGGCTAGGAAAAGAAAATGGTATCAATTACTAATATCCCCCATTCCCCATTCAGGCTTATCTTCAGCTTACAAAGTTGTTTAATCTTTTCCATCATCTCAGGAAAAAGAGAGCCTGGAAAATCCTGGTCATACCACAGTAACTATCAGTGGGTTTTTCCATAGCTTCCTGGATGCGAAATGAAAATCTTAAGAAGTCGATCCAATTCTAAAACTCACTTCTCAACTTACTAATAAATACAAAGAGACAACCCGATAATATTTTCTCCAAATAACATCTGGTTGCTTGGCCACACTGCTGATACCTGAAAATATTTTTGAGTCAGTTCCAAGAAGTTTAAAAGATATTTATACACTAAACATTCTTTTCATCATCTGACTTAGAGCCAGTGATGGAACTGTGAAACAGAATCTTGCCAAGAACTTGGATAAGAAGAAAAAAAAATCTCCTTCAAAACGTACAACTGTGAGACCAACATTGAATGTATGGGTGAAGAAAAGTGGGGAGTTACAAAAGCTTCTGGCCATCAAGATTTGACCAAGACCCCACTAAGGTATTAATGCATCTAAATACCCCAAAAGGAGTTCGCAGGGAGAAATGACAAGAAAGCTATATAGTGAAAATATAGGCATTGCTTCATCATTACCTGACAACCATTAAACATGGCTCTGGGCTAGCCTGTCTTATTCATGATAGAAAACTCAACATTATGTTTAAACGCCTAGCATAATCACCAAATACTTGTTTAATGTATTTGTTTTCTTTTTTTTGAGCCAGTTTTGGAGCTTGAACTATCACTTGAGCTATAGCTCCTCTTCTGGCTTTTTGTTGGTTAACTGGAGATAGAGTCATGGATTTTCCTGCCACACCACTGGCTTTGCATGGTGATCCTCAGATCTCAGCTTCTGGAGTAGCTGAGATTACAGGCTTGAGTCATGAGGGCTTCACTTCTCCAACTCTTTACTTGGGACCTTTTGATTATAAACTGGCTGCCCAACTAGTTTTGAATACAAGGAGAGAACAACTTAGTCTTGTGGATTTGAAAATGCTGTTTCCTATGCCAGGTATAAAACTCATAGAAATGTACCACATAGAGCTGAAGCTTCACATGTCGTGTCTGCTCCCGAAGGAAGAGTGCTTCTGTGATTGCTGGATCAAGTTCAGAGCCCACCAGGCTGGCAGAGACTCTCTGGAGCACAGAACACCCACCACGATGGTGCTGCTGCTGATGGCGATAGACCTTGCACTGAGCATCTTCTCTACGTGATCCGAAGGGGAGCTATGTACTGACCTATGTCATCTAAGAAATGAGTTATCATAAAGATTCCCATTTTGTAAAAGAGGAAGCAGTGTCAGAGAATTGTATTAACTTGCACAAAGACTCCATTTGGAATCTGGATTCAAATCTAAGCTTACCTGGCTTTACAGTAGAATTTCTTATATCATAACAGAAAATACTATCTGAGGGGGAGTGGAATGAAGTTTCATCTTTCTCCCATCATTCTGTATGCTTTTAATTATCACAGGATTATGTATAATAGATTATTTATAGTAGCCAATACAGTGTGTGATAGAAACAGTTGTACATAGACTGTATTGTTTAGGAAATAGTGATAAGAAAAAATGTCCACGTGTTCAATACAGGCAAAAGCTTTTTTGAAATATATTCCTGTGGTGGGTTGACTCATTAAAAGAAGAGTCCAGGGGTGTGGAGTGCCCTCTGTGTTTCATAATGTCTTGTCTTGAACTCTGAATAAATCAAAAGGTTCTGTCCATTCCCCATCTTCCCCAAGATGACTACCACACCCACCAATGCTTTCAGATGAAGTGGTGTTCTCTAGCTCTGATGTGCTGTAGAAACAATGGAGCCTTCATCATGGATCTTACTGTCCACTGAAGCTTAGCACACCACCAAGGATTCAGTGTCATAACCAGCGGCCAGCATGACCCTGAGAGAAACCCACAGGAAAAGCTGGAGGGCTGGGGGAGAGAGACAGGTGGGGATCCCAAATTAGAAATCAGATCTTAAGCCAAAAGCAAAAAGTGCTGCCCCAGGCAAAAAAAGGGCAGCCTCTGTCATCTTTCAAAGTGGAAAGGTGAATGACCTGAGATAATGATGTGTATGTATGCACAGACTATGAAATATTGTGCAGCGTTACAAATAGAGACCCAATTTTAAAACATGTACGAACATGGAAGAGGCGAGATTGAATAAAAAAGGGGATAGATCATAGTACAGGCTGTGTAAAAACTAGCTGGGCAAAACGAAGGGTATAAGATAAAAATTTTAGTGGTAACAGGTTGTGAGTTTGTGGGTGTCATTTTTTTATTGTCATATTCCATTAAAATATATATTATATGATACACGATATACAACATATATCGATCTAATACATAGTGTATGTGAATCTATATTAATATAGAATCTAATAAAAGTACATAATTATGTATTATATAATAAATTTAAAAATCTATCGTATTCTACATAATATATACTATATATTGCTTTAAAAATATGCTCTCCTAGTGTGACTCACGGAAGACAAGCCCTAGGCTTCTGAAGGCCCCAGAGCCATGAACCTGACTCGGCAACTTACAGACTTAGAGGTGAGCATGGACTGGGGTGCCAGGTGGCTCTCTGGCAGGTTCTCCTCTTCACTTGGCCCTGCGACCTGCAGGCTGCCCTGGGTGGGCCCGCGCCCAGGCCCTGCGGCCCCCCCGCGAGGCTCTGGCTGCAGAAGCCTCTTGCGGGGTGGGCAGGGCGGATCCCGGGGCGCAAGGCCGGTCCCAGCGCCCCTCCCGCCGCCGCCTACCTCTTGCAGGGGATCAGCGCCTTCCGCTCGTCCAGCACCCGCACGCGCCGCCCCGGCCCGTCGTAGGCCAGCAGGGCGCGGCTGTTGCGCCCGCTCCGCTGCTCGTACACCACCTGGCGCCCCTCCCACTGCTGCGGGGCCTGG